ACACCATCCTGTCAGGGGAAGACAGCAGCGAGTTGACAAGTTGTATGGTACTCTTGAGGAGATTAGGAGATCTTGTGGTGAAGAAATATTAAAAGGATCAGAAATTGATCTAGAAGTGGTTTACACACCAAGAAAGAAGCCAAAAAAGCCATAACTCCCAAAAAAAGCCATGTTAGTCAACGCCTTTGACACAGTTTATGTTCAATGCAGATTAAGTTTTATTCATAAGGGTGGTACTGGTATTGATATCCTGTTTCACTCAGGAGGGGACTGAGTACTTCTAATCAAGAAAACTATGATGACATCATGGGGGCAACCAACTAACAGTTTCAGTAATTCCTGAGATCCAGTCAATGAGAGACATTAAACCCCTTGCCCTCCCTTCCTTCCTAGCTAAAGTCCATTGGATTAACACCAATCCCTGTAAAATGATAACACGCCCCACCTGCAGGAATTAAATGAGCTTTGAGGTGTACCAGTTTCTTTGACCTATATATCCTAAATTCGGGTAATTCTTCCTTATTAAATAATGGCCTTGCGTGGGGTAAGGAGGAGAGGACATGGGCATGTTCCGTTTCAGTATAATTGCTGGTCAGCTTCCTGGTTATTTACAACATCTTATTAAATGATATTATGGCTTATGGGAAGCCAAGTAGATGTAGAGAATGTTACAGCAATCTAATTACTGACTCTCTTACAGTACTCTTTACGACGGTCATTAAAGCATTCCATAGGGGTTCCTACCGCTAAACTAAAAACATAGCAGACCTAGATTTTGACATGCGAACAATCTCACAGAAAACAGGGTTCAGCGTCACAGGTGTGTACAGCAGCGCCTGTAGTGCCCAAGCCGTGTCTGCAACATCATGAGCGTAACACTGCAGCGTAGGTGAAGAGGGGATGGCATCCACAGATTAAAGCAACGTGGTGGGCAGATGTGGACTCACCACAACTTCGCTGAGCTTAGGGGACGCCTGTCCCAAAACACTGGTCTCAGTTATGCTCGCTGATAACTCTTTCCTTGTGGAAGGGTAAACACCTTCTGTCATTTTTCTAATGAAACAGGACGAGCTGCCCAACTCCAGCTGCCAGGAACCCTTGTATGGACCCTGAATCATGATCCCTCTGGAATGCCCAAGTATAGCAACAGGCTTTTGCATTCTTTCTAGATCTTCCTTTTCAGGGCACCCGTTTTCTTACTGCCTCTATATATTCATACACACAGCTTCACCTCTATAGCTATAAATAGCTATGGCTATTTGTTTCCTCTCTCTCCATTTTCCACTCATGGAATATTCTTGGACACTCTCCCTCTTGCTGCCATGTTCGTTGGCTCCCTGGAACATAGCAGGCAAAGTAAGAGGTCAACTCTGCCTTTTGGAAATTTTTTGTGATTTTTGTGATTTTTTTTTTTCCGATTTTTCTAGATGCCTCAAAATATTTGCTTTCTCTAAGTACAAGGAATTTTATAAAACGAATTGAATATATATATTTGTAATATTACAGCTTTTCAAAACTTCCTCAACCAAAATTACTTTCTTCTTCTCTCCAAACTTTTTAACCACGAATGACTGCTCATCAGTTATTATTGCTTCATCATTCATCCTACTGCCCTCAGTGACACAAACGGGAGAAAAATGAGATAGAAATCCCCCGCAAAAAGGCCAAACCTCTGACAAAGCTAGGAGTTAGAAAGGCAGTAAGAAAGAGCTGTTGGGATGTACAGCAGCACGTGCAGTAGTCGGAAAATGGGCCCATTGATTTGACAGCTGGCGATAGGTGCCGAGTTAGTGCAGTTGTGGGCTGGCCGCTGGCTCCTTCCCCGTCTCCAGGCAGGGGCCGTAAGCGGACAAGGGAATTTCTGGTGCCTCAGGACCCGCGAGGCCGCCCCGGCTCCTCTCCCTGTTTGTACCCCAAGAGGCACGGAAGAGCCTCCAGGCAAAGCCGGGGCTTCAGCACGGACAGAGGCAGGAGGGGCGGACGGGCTGGGCCCG